CAAAGCATATCTATAAAAGTCGCACAAATACACAAAAAAAAAAACTAGACCATATTCAGGCCATTTTATTCACTTATAAATTAATCCCCTTCAAATATATAAAAAGCCATCTCAACCATGTCCTCACTTATTATATCCCAGCGCTACAATTGGATGGGGTACAATGGTACCGAATCGAAGGAGATCGATCAGGTGTTTGTTCGGAGTGGGGATGGTGCCGGGATATTCGACTATTGGCGCCGCCGAAGCGTCCTCAACGACATCAAAAAACGCCTTCATCTGATCAAAGGCGAGCTGAACCTCATCCCGGAGGACGAACTTCGCGCGGAGAGGGAGGCCGCCCGGAGGTGTCGTGAGGCCAACGAGGCCGCGCGGCGGGCAAAGCTGAACGATGACGCGAATCGCTCCCAGGAAGAGGAGGCCAGGCGGTTGGCCCAGGTCGAGTTCGAGCGGCGGATGCGGGCGATCATGCAGCGAACCGCCGGGATCAGCGAGGCCGAGTGCAATGAGCTCCTGGAGAACCTGCCGCACTCCAGGGCGGAGATGGTGAACGCCGTGAACTCCTTCAGCACCGCCGCGCGGGGCCTTTTGGTGGCCCACGAGGCCCACTACATCTCCTACCTCGACGGCTCCTGCCATACCTCGCTGGACGGGCTAGATCAGTACAACGTGAAGATCCGAAACCAGACGAAGCAGGCCCTGGAGGAGCTCGGGATGAGCCTGCCCCAGGCGGAGGTCTACAGCACCGGGGCCTTGCACGATGCGAAGTCGGTCCTGAAGACGGCACAGCAGAAGCTGCAGGCGTTTTTCTGCCAGCGGGACCGTACCCACGCGATGCGCCTGCGCCGGGCCGACAAGGACGCTCGGGGCGTTCCCACCACGGCGCTTACCGAGGAAGACGGGGATGAGGAGACGCTTCGCCAGAACGTCGACGACGCCCTGGTGAATATGGTGACCCTGCGGGAGGCCTACAATGAGCGCAGCGCGGCTTTTGGCCAACGCATGGCGGCCTTGACAATTAACAGTAATTAGCTGTATGACTCGTATGCATAATAATCATAGTAACTAACCCATTGCATTCGACCCAAACAAATGGTAATTAGGGATGAAAACACCTAATTTACACTTATAGTTTACTGATGTAGGTAAGTATTTCCTTTTTTTTTTGATCAATTGTCATTGTCATGAGATGTTTTGAAGAATGTTCTTTAAGTTGTGACCTTAACTGTTTAGGCAGTGCAAAGACGAACCTTTTGGGGGGGAGTCAAGGGGATGAAACCACAAGGATAAAAAAATATATAGATTAGATTAAATCAAGAAATATGATTATCAAGAATGAGAACAGATGCATGAAAAAAAATAAGACAGTGGTGTCTTAGGAAATCGAGGAAAGCAAATCAATAAAACAGTTGAACTTACAATTAAGCTCGACAATTATATCAATCAATCAATTATGAAAGTAGAAGTGACAAAGTTCACTTTTTTGCATGTCTACGTATTGTTGTCTAAACATCACTACATATAGTCGGATTTTAATAAACACAAATGCACCTATCTGCACATATTAGGTATATTGTTGGGTACTGTAAAACGAGATAAAAATGAAATGAAGAGGTAAATTTATGAGCATTATGTTTGATTCGTTTTTTCTTTTCCTGACAACTTGCTGAATAACTATATTGTGAGGAAAAAGGTTGAATGGGTTTATTATTAACCATGACTATATATCTTAGAATAATGAAAAAGGAAGGAATATTTCGTATCTGAAAATTGGCTTATATTATGCCTTTTTACTAAAGTTTATAAACTTCGGTTTTTAACTTGTGTATATTCAGAAATTCATTTTTTATATTGTTTTATAAATGATTATGTTCTTTTTTTCCCCCAAGTAATAATTTATTTCAACATGTGCTTTTAGTGTTCAATATCTTTTCCCTGTCTGAGTGTTAGAATACAAATTTTATCTCTTTATATTTATATATTGTAGATACATACAATATGGGAAACGATTGTATCTTATATTTCTGTTGATTTAGAAACAATTTGGTATGCAAAGTGAGCGAGCTGATATTGTATATGTTCAAACTCATATATACGGAAATATAAATATTCAAAGATAGTTATATCGAAAGGCAAATAAAAAATCAATCTGCCTATTTGTATCTTTTTTTCATTGGATTTTATACATATATATTACTATGAATCCCATTTAGCATTGTAAGAAATACCTATATTATATCTTAAGAAAGCTATGTATAGGTTCATGAAAATATGGTCAACATTTTACTATAATGTGGGCTTACTACTAAGCTTGATGTCAGAGAACGCAAAAGATATTCTTTCTAAATATTTTTTCTTTTACTCTCTACTTCTGATTATTGCTTTGAGCTTTTTTGAAAGTGCTTTTTTTTCCACTTTCAGCGTGTTTCTTCGCTAGCGAGTCCAAAAGATGCAAAGGCAAGACGAGGCATAAAATAGAAGCAACATTTTCCTATTTCAGACGACTATATTTAGTTTACGGCATAGCCATCATCGTCGAATTAGCCAAAAAAGGGTCGTAGAACCCAAACATCGATCGGCGTTTCTTTTCTTTTTCCACCATGCCCTCAACCGGGATTACACCGCTTGGGCCGTTATATCGAAGTCAGCCTTTCCACCCCACCCACCGGTCACCAACCCCTCCTACGGCGAACGGCGACACGGGCCGGGATGGCCCCCCGCCAACCTCGCCCCCCTCGTCCATACTTCAGCCCCATCCGTCCTATTGGAATTCCTACCGCGCGGCCCCCTTAGCGGCCTCGCCCGGGGGGGCTTTCGATCCAAATTCCCCACCGCCGGCCCCCGAACGGGCGCGAAAATCCACCGCCGCGGCGGAGGCCGCCCAACTTCGGGCGCAGGTCCGCCTGCTCGAGCGCGAAGTCCACGAACTACGCCAGGGCCTCGCGCAGAATGCGGCGATGGGCCGGCGGCCTTCCCAGCCGGGCGGGATCGGCGGGATTCCCGCCACCCCTCGCCCCCGAAGTGCCCCCAAGGCGAGGCCGGCGATCGTCTTCAATCGCAGGGTCGTAGACCCGTTTCTGGAAATCCGAAACGGCCCCATCGCCCAGGCTAAGCCGTGCGGAAGCCGGAGGGAGGGCTGGGGTCCTACTGGTGGTAAAGCCGGCCGTCAGTTCGAGAGTAAACCACCGCCATCCGCGCCTCCGGCGGCCGCGACGTGGAAGAGGGCGGATCGCGCGGTGGTCGAGGTTCCGTTATTCGCCCATAGTCCTGAGATGCCTCCGCAGGGGCAGACGCTACTCCCGAACTCCTCGGCGAGTTGCCAGGCCGTCAACGAGCCCCAGCTTCCCACCCCTCACAACGCCCCGGAGGTTTCGTTTTCTCCGCTTTCCCTGACTTCCAATAAGGATCCTAATACACAATCGACTGATGTGAAGGCGCCCTTGACAACCGGCGCCGAGGCCCCGGGGAAAAGCTCGACGATGCTCCACCCGAGTGGGACCTGGTCCTCTTTGGCCTATCCCACGCAGCCTGCCAGCGAGGCGGGGGCGATCCTCGAGCCTCCCCCGCCGTCGGCCCCGGGGGAAATCGCCGCCGCCGTAAAAGTCGACCCCGTCCCCCTTTCCTCCGCGCACCAAACCGCACTGCAGTATTTAGTCCATGAGCTGGCGGAATCCCGCGAACAACTCACGGCGATGCGGCGGACCGCGGAGGAGCAAAATGGGCTTCGCGCTCAACATGAACTCCGCCTGAATGCGCTCACGGCGGAGGTGGCGCAGTTGAAATCCCAGCTCAAGGCGGCCCAGGACGAGATCGGGGCCCTTCTTCAGCGTCCTCACACCCACACAACAACCACCACGAACGGGGGTTCTATCGGGAACGAAGTCCAGCCACTCCTCACGGGGGATGGGGCGAACCCGACGCCCGCATCCCAAAATTGCCCGCAGCGCCAAACGCCTAATTCAGGCGAAACCGAACATAGCGCCCTTCATCGCATGCAATCGAAGGCTTTGTCCGAGGCGCAAGCCCAAGTAAAGCAGACCAATGAGCAGATCAGCGTGCTTTCAAAAAAACTCGCCGCATGGGAGTCGTGGTACGCCAAGCAGCCTCCGAAATCCGATGACTCGCCTCAAAAAAAACGAACCTTCACGGAAAGGAAAAATCAAACGGATACCATATTGTCTAAAGACAATGCTAAGCCGCGCGCTCCGCGAAGCCATCCAAAAGACACCACCACCATCTCATTTCCCGAAGACTTGACGTGGCCGGTGTGTGATGGGGATGGCAAGCCGACCCCGTACGGCTTACCCAACTATCCCCACAACAGAGCAACACCACGCGCCTTTTCAGAGCGAAAAGAAAAAAATCACGGCCATAGAAAAACTGAGGCCGATTATGCCGCCTACTCTAACATTCATTTTACGGATGCATTGGCCGGTTTTCACCCACACCGGGCCTCGGATGAGACATCCATGCACATTGAGCCTTTAGTTCTCGTGGAGGAAAACATTTCCGAGCTTGATCGCAACGTGATGGAGCTCATCGCCAAAAAGCGCGCCATACGTGAGTTGTCTTCGGAAGGGCAAAAGTTGGCCGAAGCTCGACTGAGGGCTGTACTTCTGGCAGAGCGACGTCGGGCAAACCTGAGCTACGTGAACCGAGATGAGGATAATGAAAGTGTCTCCACAGGAAACCTGAGCAATAATGAGGGCATCGATTCGCAATGTATTTCAAAGCCACCCATTGAGATTTATCTCAGTACGAGCAATGATTGAGAATATTACCCTATGATTGCTACTGAGGAGCATAGATATGCGTAATGTTAGAACGAACCTAATGCATAGATAGACATATCTATATATATATATATATATATAATGTATATTACTATTTTGTGAACTTTTATAGCGCAATTCGCTATAATTATTTGCTTCTCATTGGGTATTATTGTTGCTATTTTGTTCTCTATTATAACTTCGATGCGGTGGAAGATCCACCACAGTATAGTTACTTGCGGTGAGACCATCCGCCATAGACAAGTCTTGATTGCGATAGATTCTCCGTGAGCCGGCCCGACCCTTCTATATATTCCAAACCATGATTCACCGATATATCGACTCCGTCCTCGATGACGACCACGACGACGACGACGAGGAGGATGAGATTATCGTCTATGATCGCTCTGACATCCGTCCTCACCCGCTCAGCCATTTTATAGCCGGCGAGGCGAGTTCGCTGAGTGTGGTCGGGGCCGGCGAGGCGGGGACTGCCATCCCAACGAATCCGCCGAACCCTCCAACCCACGCGAACGATGTGGTGGATAAGGACATCACCACCATGGAGCACGCGGTGCGGGTCCCGGACGCGTTGCGGTGCGCGGGCCGGCGTACCATGTTCGACGTCCTCGTGAAGCTTCACAAAGCGACGCCCACGCCGACGGAGGGAAAGCGAAATCCCCCGCCGGCGGGATCCGACGCGTTCACCCCCGATTCAAAGCGCCCGGAGGATCCGAACAGGGCGGTCCACGAGCGGGCCGAGCCCCACGCCCACCGCGGCGGGGGCTTCGAAACGAGCCCGCCGCCGGCCGACGCCGAGGCGACGCGGCGTCGACTTCGCCGCGGGCTAAAGCACCTGCTCCCTCGCCACCTTCAGCGGGACGAACAACAACGCATCGCGCGAGAAACCCAGGACGAAAAGCGGCGTCGGGCGGAGGAGACGGCCGCGGAA